CCCAGAGAAAACTCTCTCTCTCTCTCTCCTCTCTCTCTCTCTCACACACACACACACAAAAAACACATAGGGGGGTGCGAAAACATATACACTCTGGATGAAGCTGCCTGTCAGGGGGAACTTTTTAAATAACACCCAGCGGGGGGGGGGTTCGCCATGGCGACCCAACAAGGGGCAGACAGCAGACAGACCGTAGAGCAGCCAGCATGGAGCTGTAGCTGGAGTGGTGATGACCCCCCCCCCCACTGGAAACAGCTGGGGACTGTGTGTGTGCAGCATGTATGTAAGGCAGTGGAGTCAAGCCCAGCTCAAGCAGAATGGCACTACACGCTACCCACTCCCCCCCCATGCAGTTATTCTGGGTCTCTCTCGAGGGCCCTGTATATCTCTCTACGCAATGAGATCCAGTTTTCTGCTCTAAAGAAGGGGGTGGAGGGTGCTGCATGGCAACAGAGCAGGGAAACCGACACAGCCCAGCCCGACTCTGATAGGCAAAGCCCGACTCCGATAGGCAAAGCCCGACTCCGATAGGCAAAGCCCGACTCCGATAGGCAAAGCCCGACTCTGATAGGCAAAGCCACTGGAGATGCGCGAACATGGCCACACACACGCGCACGTACACATGAGCACAAAGCAGGTGGGGACCCATGTTGACACTGCAGCAGGGGGGCATGGCCTCCGCAGGAAGCCTGATTGAGGCGGTGGAAATTATAGGAGGAGCCGCCAGTATTATCTAGCAGATCACGAGATGGGAGCACTGGCTTACACAAGCATGCACGCATGCACGCACACACACACGCATGCACGCACAGACACACGCACGCGCACGCACAGAAACACACGCACGCGCGCACACACACACACACGCACGCCAGCCCCCAGCAACCCAAATTACTGGCACTAGATCCACAGCCCTTGCCCACCCAGCTTACAGAATTACACTTGTGACCATGATCGATCTCCACAGCACACAAAAATGAGTGCAGACAGACAGAAGAGGAAGAGCCTCCTCACCCAGTAGTGGGAGAGAAAGCAGAAGCAGAAATCTCTCTCTCCATTATCTGTCTGTTGGTTGGTTTACTCATCCATCCATCCATCCATCCATCCCTTTATTCTCATTTTCCCTTCAGAAAGAGACAGGAGGCAGGCAGGGCCTGGGGCAGAACCAGCACCTCTCCTTACCTCAGGGAGGCAATAAATCTTCAGTGGGGCTACTGACGATCCCCCCCCCACCCCGCTTCTTTTTAGTGGCCCCGGCTTTTGGACCATTAAACTTTAACACCCCTCCGTTCGGAGTGGTGTGACAGCACAACCCTCAGCGTGCGGCTCTATAACAGGATGCCCCCATAGAACTGGGAAACGCCACCTGACATTCAGGGTGGCTGATCCCGACAGGAATGAGTGCTGAGGGACCTATGCTGAAGGGTCTCTTACCCCCCCCCCCCCCCCAAGTGTGGAACATGGTACAGTCCTGTGGAATGTCAGGACCCCACTGGTCCCTGACCAATGAGATGCTGCGATGACCTGTCATGTTCTCCCTACAGACCCTCCCCATGTGCACCTCATTAAGAAGAAGACGACACTGAGCAGGCAAGTCCAAGAGCCAGTCCCAGAAGAGAGATGGCCAGTTTGTGGAATCTCCTGCCACGCTGCCCCCCCCCCATCTCAGAGGGAACTCCATGATGGCACGGCGTAACCCCCAACACTGCCTTTCCGGAATTTTACTTCCCACGAGTGTCGGCAGGTGTCAGGCCAACGGCGGCCCGATTTTAACA